GAATCATAGGTTATGTTCATTCGATATAGAAGACTATATAGTACGTGTTTTATCGTAACGAAGCAAGGGATGAATGTATTGTACATATATACGTACATAAATGGCCCAATTTTTTTTTTTTTTTTTTTTTTTTCTAACTATCACTCTGTATATTGTGCACATACTACTTTTAAGTATTGCCGTCTGTTACGATTAGATATAAGGCAGGAAAAGTCAAACGTTCATCGTACTAGTATACATTTATATACAGGGTGGACCAAAGGTTCTTAAAAATCGTATCGATTTAATCGATATTAAAAATTACTTAGAAATTTTCTGGCTCACTCTGTGTATATATAGTGGGTGTGTATTATATATAAATATATATATACATATATAGGATGTTTCATAATATATTGCAACTCTCACAATATGATGGGCATAGGATCTTGCTTTATGTTCTAATAATTTGATTTATGAGTCAAAGATAAACAGGATATGCCACAGGCCAAATAATTATTATCTTTTAATTGCTAAAATAGAGAAAATGTTTCATGCGTTATTAGAACACTTCGTTGGTCTCAAAGAGTGAACAAGATTACCTACTTCTCTTATATCGTCACACTGCTATAGTATGCAATTATATGACATAATTTTATATTTAGGACAATCTATGTATATATATATATATATATATATATATATATATATATATATATATATAAAGAAAGAAAATAAAATAAAAAAAAACTAAATAAGTATAACCATCCATAAAAGTAATTATAATAATAAAAAAGAAAAAGAAAAGTACAATAAAATAAAAAAAATTTCTTCCCACTTTTAAAAAAATATTTTATTTATTATTTTTAAATCCTAATACTAATCTTGTAATATTTATTCATTTATACACACACACACACACACACACACACATATATGTATTTTAAATGTTAATGACAATAACACGATATTTATCTGCGTATTATGAAATACACTGTATACGTGCAATGCCCGTCGTTTTCTGTCGAAGGGGGGTCAACTTCTCGAGAGAATAATTATATATACATATATATATATATATATATATATATATATATATGAGTGAGTGTGTTTGTGGATGTATGTGAACGTAGGGTGGTACGCGACCTCCGTTAGCCAAGCGTACAAACCATATACGTGGACATGTTTTGAACGAGTCGGAGGGAGAAAGGACGATAGTATCGATACCATTGTGACTAGCATAGTGCTATGTCCGTATCGAATAGACATTTTATATACTACTCGTCTTATCCATTACGATTTATATATCACGTATTCTAATACCTTTTTCGTTTAGTTAATATTATTTCTCTTCTCATTCGTATCGTATCGTATCGTATCGTAACATATATTGCATTGTATCGTGTCATGTCATGTTGTATGTCATTAACCGTTTCTTTTAAACAAATGCAAATTGATAGACGGAAGTCTCGATAATGCCAGGAATTAATTATGAGCTTAGATCTCTTTCCTTTTTTAAATTCTTCAATCATTTAATCTTCCTGAAAGATTAACGTTATTGAATTCACAATTAATAAATATATATGACATATTTATTAATTGATAATGATTAATATCAATTATGTATGAATTATTAGTATCAATATAGTATGAACAGAGATCTTTCGAGGATCCATGATGGCTAAAAAAAAAAAAGAAAAAAAAAAGATAAAAAGAAAAAAAAAAGAATCATAAATGAAAAGGTTAGATTATAACGCGCCATTTGCTTTTACACGCTTCATTTATTTTCTATAGGTTAAATTTTATAGAGCGAATATATAAAATGGAGTGAAAGGAATCGTAAACTTATTTAATTTTTATATTTCATTTCATTTCATTTTGATTTCCGACAACGAGTAGACATTGTTACATTGTTCTAGGAAAAATCTATTTTTCGGAATAATTGCTACGAGTGACAGAAATAATGTTCAGTCAATAACAATGAAATATAGTCTATACAATACTTAAAGAAATTATGGTCTATTAACCAATTGGCATTTTGACATTTATCTGTGTATATTTATTTGTTTTTCTTTTGAAAATACAAAGAACTAGGTTTCACAAAGATATTCATTATTTATTGGTTAATAAACCTAACGACATACAATATATATATATATATATATATATATATATATATATATATAGAAGGAAGATGTGAAAAAGAAAGAGAAAGGAGAGGGGCAGAAAGAGTCAGAGGAAGAGGAAGATAGTGCGTGATTTGTTTTACAATATGAACTTTAGCATCTACCTTGCCCTCTTTCCTATATAATATATATATATATATATATATATATATATAATATAATATATATTTACATGGGCATACGCGCGCACTTGTGCACAGATACATGAACTATCTTGTCCGTGACGAATACACGCCCTACTTGACTCATCTAACGGGAATAATCTTGCCCTTAATTGAAACCCTTTTATGAGACGCACTCGTTTTATCTACATTTCTGCGTCACTTCGTACGCTCCGTTTCATCGTTATAATCTTCTTATTAGAAGGTTAGAATGGGTCAATGTAATTATATAAACTTTTACTATTAGAAAGGTGCTATAATGTTGCTATAAAGGTGCCATAATGATAATGATAATAATAATAATAATAATAATAATAATAATGGCTATAAAAGAACTTTGTGATTGGTGGATCGTTTGATATTTGATTTTAAAGTTAACTTTCATTTTCTTTTTTGTTTCGTTTTATATCGTAATAAACTAGAGAGAGAGGGAGGAGAGGGGGAGGGAGAGAGAGAGAGATCGTTTTTGTTCTTTTTTACCGTCGATTTGACAATATCTAAATCGATAAATAAATTCGTTCGGGTTTCTCTAGTGGTTGCTGCTTTTCGCGCGAAGATATGAATGATTACTTAGGTCGCGCGCGATCGATTTCACATGCATTATGGTAACGGTGGTTTATAAGCAATGATCAGAAACTGTTTCATGGACGTAAAGTAACTTTTAATCATTCGAAGGACGAATTAAATGTCTATTATTCGAACGTTCGAAATTATCGATAATGTTATGCAGAAATGAAAATCTTTTCTGAAAGAAAATGTATAGCATATAATACGAGAACGATATTACAAAAAATCCCTTTCTCTTGTGTGCGTGTGTGTGTTTGTGTGTGTGTAATATTATATAAGTAGGCGTATTTCTCGTATTTATAATGCGTATATAAATAAAGACAAAGCGTAGGTAGAACTTTTGTTCGGTGTCTATCCACCAAAGGCCTTCTCTACTTACAACTTCAGATATGATATTATATATATACAGGGTGTCATGAATATATTTTCAACGAATCTTATCAATATATACGAATGTATGTGTATATATATATATATATATATATATATATATATATATATATATAATTTGGAACAACAAAATTAAGATCAATCAATAAAATTTTTAATATAATCCACAATTAACAAAGATATGAATTAAAAAATTTTTATATTATTAATTTTCTATTTTCATTTATACAATGTGTATTACAATAATCCTATATAATACTATCAGTCACTATAATAACTTATGATTCTCTTTCCTTTCTTTTCTCTCTCTCTCTCTCTCTCTCTCTCTCTCTCTCTCTTTCTGTCTCTTATCTCAGAGATTACAAATTTATTTACTTCGTAAGAACGTTTTTATTTGGTTTGAGTTCAATGACTACTGAAGTTGTCGTCGATCGATAAGTCAATGAATAATTAATGAATAACGACAAAAATAGAGGCAGAAGTTCTTTTTCCTATTGAATCCTTTCGCCGTTTAAAATAACTAATCTTAATGAAAATCTATTTGTTTTTTTTACAGATTACCGGTATCGTCTTCATATCCGTGGGCGCAGTAATACTGGTCGTTTACAGTGGTTACAAAAACTTCGTCGACAGCTGGTTCTTCGCTGCACCTGTTTTAATGATAATCGTTGGCGTTGTAGTCTTCCTGGTGTCGTTCTTTGGTTGTTGCGGAGCAATAAAGGAAAATCATTGCATGTTGATAACAGTACGCAAGTTACTTTTTATATATATATATATATATATATATATATATATATATATATATATATATATATATAAGAAAAACAAAAAAGGAAACAAAAAAAAAATCATTTACCGTCACTTGATGCGCCATATTTTTTTGTAATCAAACCACATCGTCTATAATACCATTTTTTCTTTTCAGTACTCGGTCTTCTTGATGATTATTTTTGCACTGGAATTGGGTGCAGGCATTTCAGGCTACGTAATGCGTAATGAGGTGGATTCGATGTTGCTTAATCGTATGAATACAACCTTTTATCAATATAAAAGCGATGAAAACATTCGTAAATCTTGGGACATCATGCAATACGACGTAAGTAAATAAAAACCGGTTATACATAGTCTCTTTGAATATTTATTCTTATTTATTTTCTTTATACGAACGCACATACACACACATGCACGCACACACAACCCATACGCACATATTATTTGTTGGGATAAAATTACATCTTATACTTTTCTGCGAAGGAAAAAATTTTATTATAATAATTCTTTTATAATAAAAAAAAAAAAAGAAAATGATAATAAATTCTTATAGAAAAGAAAAAAATGATTTTATAAAATTATTGAACAAATAGTAAAAGGGAAGGGAATAAAAAATTAATTGACTATTCAATTGAATAGGCTTATTCTATATATATATATATATATATATATATATATATTTTTTTTTTTGTCTTTATTTTTCTTTTAATGATATACTGTACAAACGTATATACGTATTCGCCTTGTAAACTGTGAATCAATATCTTCTTCGTCCCTTTTTCTCTCGTATGTTAGATTATTGTATCTATATATCCCATATATATATATATGTAGTACGAGAATATACTACTCGTATATATTACCACGTACATATAATCTTACCACATACTGACTTACGTACACGTATCATATCTATCTCTATTTGTACGTAACTCGCATTAATGATATTACAAGGATCCCTCAATATTTCCTAGCATTCTGAGTTTCCTATATATATATATATAAGTAAAACGATTCTATTTCATCATTATCGTTTTCCTCTAAAAAATCTTAGAAATCATTTATCTTATCAAAGTATTATATAACTTTTTTTTTATATATATATACATACATATTTTTTTTTATGTATATTATATATATATATATATATATATATATATATATATATAAATGAAAGTTATATATATATATTATATTGTGCTTTGTTCATGATATTTAAGCTCGATCGATCAGTAAACTTAATAAACTTGGTATTTAAGTGAAATGTGTTACACAGTGGGTCACGCTATGTATATAAGTACAGTGTATAAATGTATACGGTGTCCCAATTGAATTTATCATTTTAGATATCTCCGTTATAAAATATAGTAATATCATAATTATTTATTTTTCTAAATTTTATACACACATATATAAATATATATAAGGCATTATAGTCTTCCTGATTTATTTGGTTGTCACTGCATGTTGATAACAATAAACAGTTTAAAAACAAAAAGAATTAATTTACTATATCACATGATTATCATTGCCATATTACTTTTTACCAAACTATTTTTCTATATTTTCCATTTTAATATTCGATTGTTTTGATGATTATATATATATATTTATATAACAAATATATAGCTTTTATTATTATTGGTATTATTATTATTATTATTGGTATTATTATTATTATTATTATTATTATTATTATTATTATTATTATTATTATTATTATTATTATTGTTATTATTATTATTATTATTATTATTATTATTGTTATTATTATTATTATTATTATTTAATCTTACGTTTCTATTGAAATGACCCGGTAAATTCAAATAAGATCCCCCTGTATATATCTTGCACAATATATACGTCTTCACTAGTGAAAGGGAAATTGTGTAAGAATCATTTGATCGATTACTGAACATTTTCGTTGCTGAGTACGAGTTAATCGTAAATAATAAAAATAACAATAATAATTAACCAAGAAAGACGTTCGTAGCCCTTGGTGATGTTCAAGCTTGGAAATAATTATTTTGTGTACATGGTATCTATATAAATCTATCCATTAATTCGATAATATTGTTATTATAGTTACGATGCTGTGGTATAGAGAATCCAGGAGATTGGGCCAAACTTAATTACACGGATAATATAATACCGGATTCTTGTTGTACGGAAATTTCTGCCGGTGATAAATGTGATTCGAATTCGGTTCATTCCAATGGTGATGGTTGTATGTCCAAGTTACAACAGACCATTAAGTACAATTCTTTGGCTTTAGCATCCGTTGGTATAGGAATTGCTCTTACTCAGGTAAAATAAATCATATATATATATATATATATATATATATATATATATATATATATATATATATATATATATATATATATGTAATGTATAACTTAATTTTATTTTCTGATGATATGTCACAGCAAAAAAATGTCACAACGAAAGATCTTTGTTTGAATGAAAATTAGATTTAAATCACTATTAAAATATCATGAGTTGTTCATAATTTAAAAAAATAAAGAATGAGTTTAAATGAGACACTCAGTATATGATGTGGTTTGTACTTTGTTGCGATCGCAAATCGTATTAAAAAGAAAAAAAAATTGAATTTGATATTACCAACATACTCGTTGTGGCAAAGGTCTCGTTACAAGATATTCTTATTCTTTTTCTTTTTATATTGGTTTCAGTTGATCGGAGTAACCTTTGCGTGCTGTTTGGCTCGCTCAATTCGTCGCGAGTACGAGACTGTGTAAGCTGTCAGACACAAATTTTAATTGCAACATGCCTAACATGCACTTTTTATAAATACTGTTCTGTTACACTGGTTACATCACCCTTATCTTTGTTATCTTAACTATGTATAACTTACAATTTCGGTGCACAATTTACACATCAAGAGTGTATTCTTTTTTATTGCTTATCTTACTGACACACTGCGTTAAATATTTTATCTCTTTAAAAGGATTGATCAATTTAAAATACATGTTGAACTGATGGTATTGGTGTACTAAGTACGAAATTGATACTATTTTTGGTAATTGGGCTTTCTCTATAGTCATAAAGATCTTTTCGTATGTTTTATATATATACATTTTTACATTAAATTTAGAACATTTAAAGACTTTATATGTATAATAATCTATCACTATACAACACATTGTTTTTGTAAATCCTATAAATTTGCACTGTAGGTAACAACTATATATATACGTAATACCTAATCGTATATACATTCAGCTTTGTAATGCTGTTATAGCCGAGCCATGGGTAACGTGATTTAAAAAATGACATATAACATATCAATATAAGTTCGAATATTATGTTTAAAAAAAAAAAATCAATTGCAAAATTTCCAAAGAAGTTTGAAGAAGTCTTGGCTAAGCAAATATTCGTCTTAAGGAATGGCGTTATTTATGTTAAATGATGGCAAGGTCATCATTTTTGTCATCATTTTATTTTTTTCCTTTTTTAATTTCTTTTTTTATTTATTAAAAGATATAATTTTAAATCTGAAAAGGAGTAAAGTGAAGCAAATGTAATCTATGTTAAAAGCAAAAGCTTTATTCTCTCGCATGAATACATGTCTATGTAGATTATTTATTAGGGCTCCACTATAATAATGCTAGTCTATTTGGTTTTCACGATTTAAGCATTGATTATGTAAGTACTCAAGAAAACTGTACAGTTTCAAATGTATCTGTGATTGAAAATCATAATTAAGTAAATTATTTCTTGGTACATTCGTTGCTTTAATACAAATGAACAAAGATTTTTAGATTAACAGGTATATATCTCCCCTCTTTGTCTACACAGAAAATACACAAGTATAATAGATTTAGCGCGAGTATTTGCATATTGAAATGCCGTGTAAAACGGTATAATATATGCGTAAATTATAATTAAGAATTACTATTTATCTATTATTAAGATGTTTTGTTGTTTATTACGGTGTAAAGTTTACGTAGTGTTATAATTATGATTAATGGCCATATCCTACATAGTGAATATACAACGTCAGGTTCAAATAATTATTTTATCTTTAGCACTTTGTAGATATATATATATATATAAAACTAATTGATGAAAACAATTTCTACATAGTGCAGGTAAAATGACACAACAAAGTCAATGCCAATCTGTTCATTGTTATAGAGCGAAAGGTCTGTCGACTTTGGACACTGCTGGTAATATAAATTCCGCTTATAATTACGTTTTTATCAATGGAATGTTTGGCTTTTTATATGTTATTGCTTAGTCAATATGCAGTGCACTTATGTTATTCAATTAATGTATCTAAAACTCTAGTGATGTAATATTTTTACTTACAGCGAAACCACAGCACACTGATCTGCCATCAGTTAAGGGGCATTTTTCATAATATTGTTCATCATACATTGGCAGAAAGATATTTATAGTTCCATTGCGAATATGACCATTTTTATTAATTATTAAAATGCTTAAAAATGTATAGCAAAGAGGAATGATGTTAAAATTGTATTAAAATAACTTTTCTATACACGTAATATAAAAGAGAAAATATATCTTGGAAAGGTTTATTATTGAAGAACTATTTTCTGATTTCTCTTTATGAAGAATTCTCTAACAAAAATGAAATGATTTACTGCCATTACATGCCAAAAATACCAAAGAGAGCGCAGCGACTATAAAAATATATATACAACAATTTCTCTCTCTTATTTTTTTCTTTTTTTTTTTTTTTTTTTTTTTTCTTCTTTTTTTTATGTATAATACAAGACCATCGTAATGGAACAAAAAAAAAAAAAAGAAAAAAAAAAGAAAAAGGAAATAAATAAATAAGAATAAAAAAAATTATAAAAAGAAGTGTTAAAAAAAATGAGCGATAATGACAATGAATATAATCGATGTGCCATGTGTTGCAGCCATGATGTAAAAATAATTATTACAAAAGAGATTTCTCATCTATGTACAATATGTCTTCGCTCCTTGTAAAAGCATAGATATTAACATCATAAATGTGAGCTGCTTAATTTTAGTGCTCGCACTAGCTCTACAACCATCATTCCTCTTTAATTTATTATCATATATAAAAAGAAACAATAAGCTATTTTTGTCTAATCTTCCCTCTAACAGTACAATGTGAATTGGTTATCAAAGATTTACTCGCAGAGAAAAGCCTGTGTTCTAATACTCATTATTATGCAAAATGGCTTATTGCTTCTACTATATTTAAATATGAATGATATAAAACATGGCATACTTTCTTTGTATGCCTTCTCGATAAAAAAGGATACCTTTTTTTTAACAACTCTTTATTTAAATAGAATTATCAAATGTTGCAGCAGTCTTACATGTACCAAATTCGTAATGATATCATATTTATTCTAGAAATGTGCGTACTTTTATTCGTAATCGACAAAATATTCCAAGATATATATATATATAAATAAATAATGTGTACACAATATTTCTCCCTCATATCGATTCTTAATGCGCAAATTAACGAATATAAATAATTGATGTACCTTGATATTTAGTTTCAATGATATATACATTGTCAATTTGTCAATAATGAAATCCTTTGTGTTATTAAATATATTAAAATATTCTATTCCACGTGTTCTATACCACTATGGTTGTATTATTAAAAAAAAAAAGAAAAAAGAAAAAAAAGAGAAAAGAAAAGAAAAAATGAAAAAGAAAAAAGAAAAAAATAGAAACAAAAAAATTCAAAAAGAATTGCTATAAAAGAAACCTTTACATCGTCTCGATTTTGCGAATCAAAGTACTTGCAACCAATATTATAATATTATCTATTATTTTTTGAAATTTTGTATTATTGACAAGAATAAGCTGAAACTAGGTCAGTTATTGTTAACGACAAGTTATGTTAATGATGATGATGATGATGATGATAATAATGATATATACATATGGTACTTGAAAATTTGCTACAATATTCCTTCACAATTTGAAAAATTACTATGACATAATTATTTAATGTAATTGTACAACAACGAGAGAGTTGTAAAAAGATTCAAAGTGATATTTGTATCATGTATGTACGTACGTTTTAAAATGCACTCTGGTAGTATTAAATATGCTCAGAATGGATATAAATGAAACATTCTTAGATAATTGTATTCACAGTATATTATAAACTAACTAACTAAGAGATATATATGATTAAAGTGTGCCTAACTTATAGAAAGAGAGAAGACATATGTTATAAATGATTAATATAGAAAAAAAAAAAAGAAGTTTTAATGTCACTTAACTGTCTTGCGCAACATAGCTTGTCCAAAACTGGCACTTGTCCAAAGTTCGCTCCTTTTAATTACAATAATCGTCATTTTTTTTTTATAAATCTCAATTAGATTCTTGATATATATTGATTATTGGGCAAGAGATAAGACTGATAAAGATTATTGTAATCAGTATTAATGAGAGCATTGGTATTTTACATATATATACCGTATTCTTACAAGAGAGTAAATTTATACTAAATTATATATTTTATCTGCTTGTATTTTTTTTTCTTCTCTATAAAAGTGTAAATTATAAATTAGTCAATATTGATAAATTTGTATTAAGATAATTCCATTATTTTAATATAACTTATTATTTTTTGGCAATTTAGGAGCCAACGACATCCTTAGCACATATTTGTCTAGCCTTTATGTATATTAATAAATTAAAATTACACTAATTGTTTTGTATTTAATCTTGAATACTTGTACACCTCGTATAAAATATATATATATGTATATAAATATATAATTTAGGAAGGAAAAAATGATAACTTCGTGATATTATAATTTTATAATCAGTTTATTTTATTGTAATTTATATTTATGCAGACCATTCGGTAGCAGACTAACATCCATCATTGATTAGGATTAGTGGATCTCTCATTTCTCTTTTTTTTTTTTTATTTTGCCATTTTGATATCACCAGAGCTGTAGCCTCTTTCTGTCTTTAGTGAATGAGAGAGATTACAATCGCATTCATCAGTTAAATAGTTTTTGTGAATAGCACATATTTATCTCTGTGAATAATGCAGCATAACTTTGAACATATGAAATATGTTTAAAATACAATATAACGTAATCTCTTTATTTGATAAAAATTGCAAAACGAAATATCATTTAATCAAAGAGCTTATGGATAAAGAAATCTCTCAAAAAAAGAATGAATAAAAATTGAAATTAATTATTTTCTTGGAATGAAACGTTTTCCCTGATGATTTGTTACAAAAGGAATACAAAAAGGAATACAACGGAGAGCGATCCTTAATTAAATTGATATTTAACATGATTATAGTAAACTGCATTATGCACTTCCATAGATAAATTTTTTTTGTTTTTGTTTCTGCAGCTCTCTCTAGTTAAGGAAGAGCAAGATTGATTATATTCCATTACTACTCTTATAAACAGCAAATATGCACGTTCGACAAATATGTATGTATATCGACGTATTTACAATTCCTAAATAGAATTAATGCGCCGCTTTCACATTAAGCAACATACAAAATTTGATGTTCGTTCAACAGTTTACAAAAACGAGAAGACCTAACATTCTCAAATAATCGGGGAACCGAGTAAAATTATGAATAAAATGGTTATATCTATAATGAAGGTGTGTAAGTGAAAGAGAAAGACAGAGAGAGAGAGAGAGAGAGAGAGAAAGAGAGAGAGAGAGAGAGAGAGTGAAAGAGAGCGAGAGAGTCTCACCTCTCATGCAAAGTCATTTCACACAGTGATATTTACAAGAGAATTTGACATCGAAGAGAAAAATCTTAAAAGCTTAGTTTACATCATAAAACTGTACAATGTTAAATTGAATGAGTTTTACTGATTGTTTATTACAAGGTATATAAATTGCAGTCACACACATTACCACCCAATTTTCCAAGCAACAACTTGCTCCTTTGATCTGAATTATTTACAAAGTGGTCTGTTGGTCCACCTTGCCATTAAAAGCCATTATCTTTCGTTTCTTGTCATAAACATGTCTTAATTATAAAAAAATCACATGAAAGAAAAATTTGTATAAATTGATCGATAACATATAATCCAATAGATCTAAGATTTTACTAAGATCTTTCTTAGTAAAAAAGAAAAAAACCAAAATTTCAATACTTTACTGAACACATTGAATACGAAATGGCTACTACACAAAAGATTAGAAAATGAGTAAAACATTTCTTAATTTGTTTTGTGACACAGCCATTTTCCTAAAGGAAAACGAAGTACAAATACCAAAAAAAAGTAATGAAGTACAGTAATGAGATAGTACGGAATACTTATGGCTATATAAGTATAAGACAATTTATACATACACATGTAGACAATAGAAATTTCAGTTTCTTCAATGTACTAGTTCGAATATACAGGAAATGATATTTATTTACAGTTACAAAGATTTTGCAGGTGGCCCCAAATATTATAATTGGATT